TCCCGCGCCTTTGGGAGGCTGAGGTGAGTGGATTGCCTGAGCCCGCAGGTTCGAGACCCGCCTGGGAAACTTGGTGAGACCTTATCTCCACAATAAAAATCAAAATGAGCCAGGCGTGGTAGCACGCGCCTGTAGTTCCAGCTACTTGGAAGGCTACGGTGGAAGGATTGCTGGAGCCCAGCGGGTCGCGGCTGCGGTGGCCGGGAGCGGCCACTGCACTCCAGTCTGGGCGACCGAGTGAGACTCCGACTCAAAAACAAAAGAGTGAGTGAACCTAAGTGTGGGCACAAGCGAGTGTGTGCGAGCGTGTTTGGGAGTGTGCGTGTGAGCGTGTCCAAGTGCGTGAGTGTGAACACGTGTGTCCAAGGGTGTGCGCACCCAAGGGTGAGCAGGTGTGAGTGTGTGGGTGTGAGCCCACGAGTGTGAGCATGTGGGCGCAGAGGGTCCTCCGGCTCTTTCGGACGAGGGGACTCCGAAGGAGTGGGTGGGGTGTGCACTTGCCCCTCTCTCCGCCTAGGTCCCCTTGCTGTCCCCTCCCCCTCTCTGGGACCACCTTCCTTTCCGTCTCTCCTCCTGCTCTCTGTCTCGGTGTCTCTCTGAGTCCCCTCCCTCCTGTCTCTCCCTCAGGCCTCACTGTCAAGCCGAAACCCAAATGGGATTTCCAGTCGCCTTTGCAAGATGACTGTGGGTGTCCGGTCCCCTCCCCGCTCACCACCCTGGCCCTGGTCACGGTTGCCCTGGCCGTCCCCGCCTTCCCCCCAACCCCTTCCAGTGGCCTTGCAGGGTCTCCACCCAGAGCTCCGGAGAAGACCCAGTTCCCTCTCTGCTGCTGAACTGGTGCAGGTGGGATCCTTCCAGCCCCCTCTGCCTCCTCCTCCCTCCTGGGTTCCCCTGGCTCTGCCTTCCTCAGTCCTGGCCTCGTTTCTCAGAGGTGTTGGTCCCAGCGCCGGTCTTGTGGCATGCTGTCACCAGACACTCACTCCTCCTCAGTTTCCTGAACCCACAGCCCTGGGGAGGGGACTGTAGGAAGATGTTGGGGGTCCCGGTGGTGGTCTGGGGCTGACACATGCCCTGGGTCCCGAAGGGACTTGACTCACACAGCTTTGTGCCACAATCAAGCCACCTCCCTCTTCTGGTCCGTCTTCTCTGCTGGGAACTGGGCCGGGCAGGACCCAGGCGGGCAGGGGGCGGCAAGGTGGGGCCCCAGTGGGTCCCTCCGCAGCCCACGTTTGGACACCTACAACCCGCCAGTCCTGTCCTGGGGCTGGGGGCCCAGATCCTGCCTCCTGGGTCCTGTGGTCTGGAGGGAGCACAGGTTCTGGAGCCAGGCGGTGCAGGTGTAAATGCTGGCTTCTCTACCCACTAGCTGTGTGGCCTTGGGCAAGTCACATAACCTCTCTGAGACTCAGTTTCTTCATCTGTGAATTGAATATAACAATAATCCCTGCCTCATAGCGCTGTTGTGAGGACTGAGTGCAAAGTGCTTGAAATATTACTGGGCACAGAATAAGCTCTGTGTGCTTGTAAATAAATGAATGCTGGACAACCCCCTCTGGTCCCCTCCCACTGTGGGAGCTTTTCTGTCCTCTTAATAAATCCTGCTTTCTAAACAAATAATAAAAAATACATAAATAAATAAATGCTATACAGAGCAGCAACGTCCCCGTGGGACCTGTGCCCATGTCTGCAAGCAGGATCAGCCCATGTGCGTGGCCTCTAAACCTCTGCCCTTGTGATCAGCACACAGGTAACCTGGGGCCACAGGCAGGGATGCCCAAGAGGCTGGAGTCAGTGAGGCTGTATGCAGATGTAGCCTTTGCTGTGTGTCCTGGGAGGTTCCAGCACCTCTCTGGGCTTCAGGGGTGGGTGGGGCTGCTAGCCCAGGGACAGTGAGAGGAATGTGCCCAGCGCTAGGCCCAGCACTTAATCACCTACTTGGGCAACAGATACCTGCCAAGTGTGTACCAGGGGCCAGTGCACGTG